CAGAAGAATTTGCCCAAAGGCCAAAGGTTCAAAACTTGGTAGAGAAAAGGAATAAAAAATAAAATAAAATAAAGTAAGAGGTATTCTAAAATACCTCAATTTAAAATTTTTTTAAAAAAAAATTATCAAAAAAAATAAAATAACACAGAAGAATTTGTTCCAGGATTGTTGGCATTGTAAGGGGTTGTTAGATGTTGCTGTCAGTTTCTTATTTTCTGTTTCTGCTTTTTAGTCTAACCTTTCATGTTCAGAAATTAGAAGGAAACTGATTTAGCACCAATTCCAGTCTAGAAAACAAACTGAGGATCCCAGGTTGGTGTCTTATATAGGGATATAGGTAGACTAGATCTTTCCAGAACAAGTTCAATGAAAATTGCTTTACCTTGTTTCTTTATGAAGTCCTTGAGAATACAACCTAGGAACCAACACTTCTCTTTTTCTTTTTCTTCTTCCTCTTCTTTTTTTTTTTTTAGGGTGTCTTCTCTTTTTGAGAAGAATTGCAGAACAAATCTACTAGCTCTTTAACTCTTTTCCACTTTTCCACTTTTAAGCTGTATTAACTCCATGTAAGATTTGATCAAAGGTTTGGAACTCTTTTTTCTTTGTACGGGTTGTGGGTTTTGGAACAATATGTTTGAGATGGAATTTGTTATATCCATTTTTGAGGCTTGAGATAGAATATGAATTTTGGAACCTCTCTGCACTATCCTTAGCTTCTGGTTTTGTGAAAGCAAAAGTTGAAAGTATAAATATTTTCAAATATTTTGGCCCAAGGGTTTTACCATTTAATAGCTTCTATACATTCATAAACTGTGGTTCATGTCTGATGGGCTAATTAAGCAACCTATGCAGATGTTGGAACTTGGAGCTAGTTTGTGGGGTCTATTAAACATAATTTAAAAAGTATCCACTTGGCCCCCCTTCATTTATTTTAAAGATCTAACATTATGAAAATGGTTATTGACTGCTTAATAGGTGGTCATTAATTTCATTATACCTTACAAACTGTATAAAATATTTTAATTGTATAGAAATATGTAAATTTTTTTAGAAATATGTTCAAAAGTGAATTAAGATTGTAATTCTTTTTTGACATTTTTTTTACTTGACAAGGTATGTATTTTTATTGCAGAGTAATGTCATACAAAACTAACAAAATTTAGTAACTTGTTTTACTCACTAATGTAAAACATCATATTATTTATGAATAATATGTGGTCATATTTCAGATTTGATTTTTTTTTTTTATTATTATTGCATGATGACAAGAAAATTTTGTAAGAATTTGTTAGGTTTATAATACTTTTCTTTATTATATTACTATTGGCAGTGGTTGAATTATTTTAGTCAATTTTTTTTTACAGTACTAAATGCTTCACATCTTTTCTTGAGCCAAAGTCATTATTAATTATTAAAGTACTTGAAAATCGTGGTAGCAAGTTGTGCTTGTGTGTAAAGTTCTCATCTCAAACTGTCTATTGAAAATGCCAGTTCAATGTGTAGATCGAGAATGGAAGTACAATATCTAGGTTTAATTATCTTTTCCAAGAAATGGGCATGTGTATTGTTTAATGACTTTGTCTCTCACTCACTGCAATATCTACCACATATGTTTTTCTTTCTTTCTTTTGAGGGAAGAGAGAGGTGGTGGTGGTGTTAATGGTTAAAGCTGGTTCTGTCATGTACTTAGATACCCTTATTGAATTGTGTTGTTGATGTCATCTGCATAAATAGATTATACTAAAGGGTGATTGACACGTGTTGAAAACCCAGAACATTTTTAAAATCAGATTATGTGCTATGAATGTGTGGTGTTTTTGTTCTTGATTGAATGGTTACAAAACTGCTTATTTGGTTGGGTAAAGGGTTTGCTGCATATCTACCCTTTGGATATTTCATTATTTCATTTTATTGGCATTATTTTGTATGCATTCTACTTGCAAATTTGTTTTCCAAAATGAAAAAAAATATCATAATAGATTCTGAAAAAGATAATGAATATGAAAAGTCACTTTTGCCACTATTATTTCTCTTATAGCACATGAAGCCAAATATTTGCATAAAAGCTTGGCAAGTTCATTTTACCATTAACCATGACATATCTCACAAATCTTATGCAAGATAGCACTATCTTGGAGTGAGTAAAATATTAAAATTGACCCAAAGGTAAACTTGCTAGCCAAATACAAACTTTGTAAGGTGAGTGTAGAAGAAAAAAAAAAATTGGGTGTATTTATCACCTTTTTGTTTTTTGTTTTGAATGTCTGTATAATTTACCCAAATTACCAATAGTAAACTTGCTCACTGCATACTTCTTTTGTCATACCACATGAAATCAAATATTTGCATCAGAGGTTTTGCCAGTTCTTTCAACACCATTGATCATGACATCTGATAAATCTTACACAATACATGGCACGGTATAGAATTGAAAAGAAGAAAAAGAAATGGAATAAATTACACATTTGCATGTAGAGGTGGAGAGGGCGCTTCTGGTATGGTCTGCAGGGTTGGTCTCCATGGTGAATTCTTGCACCCAAAATCATCAATTGACATCTTCTGATCAACAACTCCTTTGTCAACCTCCTTTGAGATCACCATCCCTTTCGACGCAGCAGCCCTAACAAGACTCTCATAGGTTGCATCACACTCGGCTAACCCTTCCAGCAACAAAAAGTACAGCCGGTTACTGCTCAGCCGGTGAGAATCCGATAGAACCAATCGGTGGTCCGATCGGCACAGTATGACCTTGTGATTAGGATATGTTGCTAAAACATGTTTTACCGGTATGCCGTTCGCAAATCTAATTAATTTGCCGTCTTGTTTCATTACAAGAACCTCCCTCTCGGTTGATTGGTGATTAGTAGAATGAGGACACAGACACGCCAGAGAGCTACCCATAATGTTTTGTTTTGGTTTTGATTTCAATATTTTGATGTGGTTGTGATTTGTGTTTTTGGAGTTTTATCTTCGCCTCCGATGATTACAAAGAACCATGTATGATTAGAGGTGCGTCCAATAAATGGTACTGTGTCTGGCTATGCTTGTATGTGTAATTTCAATACTGACAAAATGCTAGTGTGACCTTTGGGGTAGGTAGCCTTCACAAGATTATTAGTTTATCAGTTATTTTATGGTTGATTAAATTTTTTGGATACTAAAATTTAAAATTATTTGATGATCAATGTATTAATGATGACATATTGGATTATCTTGGAGTTTTATCAACAATTTGCTTGTCTAATTGTAGTACACATTTGTATGTCATTAAGAAATGTTAATTATATGGATATTTAAATTAAATTCTAAAAAAATATTACAAATATCAATGAATGAAAGTGATGTAATTTTATAATTGAGGGGTAAAAAATGTACAATTTTAAAATTAAGAGGTAATTGATATCTAATAATAATAAGAGAATTATTATTTAAGATAAAAAATTATAATCAATTTTCAAGCTTAGTGATGTAACAATCAATTAGAATATCCAATGCAACACTCTTTTATATTTTCTCTAATAATCAACAAATCATATCATTTATACATCATTGGATCTAAAAAGTGCATTTGTATATTATTTTCTAATAATTGGAGAGTTATCTATGTGTTTTTTTTTTTTTAAAATTTAGGAATGTTACCTATGTAGTTAATCATTTAATTTATATATAAATAATTTTAGGGTGTGTAAAGATTTTTTTTCATGAACAATTTCCTTTTTATATTTAGGGAAACTTACTTGTAGATCTTAATAGGTAGATTTATTATAATAGTATCTATGATAATTAATATCATTTTTCATCAAACACTATTTAAAAAGTAACTAATTATTAATTTTTGATGACGCTTTGAAAATTTTGTCATAAAGTGTCACCAAGCAACAGTTGAAAAAAATCATCACAAAAGCATGCTTGGTTAGAGTTTTTCAAAAACTCCTTTCAGAAAATTCTACTTTTTTGTTTTCCGTATTTTTTTGTTTTTACTCAATTTTTTTAATATTTTAAGCAATTTGTTTTACTTTTTAGACATACCTAACATAAATATACCTAAAAAGTAAAAAAATTGTGAAAGAAACCTTTTAAAAATTCACTAAATACCAAAAAAAGTAAAAAAATTGTGAAAGAAACCTTTTAAAAATTCACTAAATACCAAAAATACAAAAAAAATACGAGAATTCCGCACATATTTTGTATTTTTATGTATTTGTTAATTTTTAAAAATATTTTTTCACAAATTTTTTACTTTTTAGATACATCTAAATAAGGTGCATCTAAAAAAGTTAAAAAAAATATTTAAAATTTTAAAAATATTCACTAAAAACACGAAAACCAAAAAACTCAATTTTCAAAAAACTTAATCCAAAAAACTCAAACCAAACACTGATTAATTTTCAACTTTCAGCGACAATTTAAAAATTCTTACAGAAAAATGTCACTAATTGTAACTTGTAGCGATAATTTGTAAAAATCGTAATAAAAAAAAATCACTAATTATCAATTTTTAACAACATATAAAAAATCGTATTTATTTATTTATTTATTCTGACCAAATTTCTTTGTTTGTTTTTTGTTGGGTGAGATTTGAATTTAAGACCAACCCAAAGTCCGAAGCTCAAGGCCCATGACACATATTGCAAACGTTTTGTCAGTGGGACAGGCCCAAGGCCCATGAGGAAAATTAAAGCCTTAGCCGAAAAAGCATTTTAGCATTAAATTTTATATAACTCCTTTGGGATGGAAATTATTTTTATTTTTTGGAAATATAATTATATTTTGATATAAAAGTAGTAAAAAATATTTAATAACATAATTGTAAATAAATTTAAATATTTATTCTATAGATTCATCACTTTAATAAGAGCCACGTGCACTAATTCACCTTATTTTATCTTTATTCACTTGTTTGTTTTAATTTTTTTATAATTTGATTATCTCATCTCAGTGTGTTGTTATAGACTATAGTCCTAACAAATAATAACATGCAAGAGCACACAAGCGGATAGAGACAGAAAAACTCTATATTGACAACTCTAATTTTAACTACACATTTCAGGGGGATAATAATTCAAAGATAAGAAAACTATACTCCTTTTGCTTCTGTTTTTGGTCTTTTTTTTGTTTTGTTTTCTTCAGTTTTACGACCTCCGATTCTGGGTTCGCAGCCGAATATCCAAATCAGGGTGCTGAGGAGAAACTCTCAAGTGCTGTTGTTGAAAGTCCCAGAGTTGAGCATTACTGTTTACTTCCTGTCCTTGTAATGAACCTCCCTCGCTGTAGTTCCCTGCATCAGACATCAGTCCTTGGCATGCCAAAACGAGCTGCTGTGTTTGTCTAGGCAAAATGACATTCTGGCCCACTGAATTCACATCAAACTCAGACAACGCAGGGTACAATCCTCGCTGCACATAACCATCCTGGCCCATCCAATTCACCTCATTAGGCAGTGATTGTATGTAAGAAACCACTGGAAGCTGCTGTTGTGTCTGCACGAATATATCCTCGCCCAAGAGATTCAGTAGACCCGGCTGTGGCTGTGGCTGTGGCTGTGCATAAGTAGTCCATGTGACCTCCAATCCTCGCTGTGCAAATGCATCGTGGCCATATATGTTCGCCTCATCAGGCTGCTGTGGTTGTATCCGTGAAAAATCATAGATTGCCTGTGGACCACACGGTGTAGGCCGGCTCCATTCAACCTGAGCTGAACTAGCTCCCCAATTGAGGTCCGGTGGAGCGTTGGAACTGGATGATGTAATGACTTTTGAAGGATACAAAGATGATTTCGGGCGTTGATTGCTGTTAGAAAGAAATTCAAGCAATTGTGATCTGGGGAACAAATGTGCTGGCTGAAACTGATCATCCAACGGTTTAGAGCCCGCCATCCAATCTGTAGTCGTGTATCCATTTATGTTTGCTGTTCCAGCACCTGGGAGATAAGAACCCAATTGATTCTGAGTGCGATGAGCATCATTGGGATTGATGCTGTCACCAGTGAGAACACTCTTCCCTTTGTCCAGTCCTCCAATTCCGAGTGCCATCTTTCCTCGGCAAGCGCTACTGTCAATATTTATACTGACGTGGCTGCCCAGTGGGTTGTTGGCATCCTCAGTTGCACCGTTGATACAATTAGGTTGTTGTTGAGTAGCTGACGAAGAAATCAGACAACTTGAATCCCGAAAAGAATGACTCAATTTCTGGTTTGCCACATTTTGAGCCGTTGGTCCCAAATCTTTAGCAAATCGCAGCAGACTTTCATTGTACCCAATACCCCCATTACCCTACAATGTTGAGGAAATTACAATCAGTGTAAGGAAGGCAATAGCATAGATCCAATAGATGGATTGAGGAAAGTCTCAAGCTATTTTAGATAGAAAAGAAAGAAGAGAACTGAAGAGGGAAAGCGTAGAGATCAGACAATTACAATCAATTACTTTGCTTCAACTTTCAAATGAACATTTGAACACAATGAGGAAAGGATACCCAGAAGTTGTGGTTTATAGTGCATGAGCATGTGCATAATGTGCATTTTGTGTATGTGGAACTTACAGGTACAAGTTCTTTTGAGGAACTATAAATTGTTAAAACTATTGATGACTCCTCACTCTGATGCTTATACATTTGACACCTTCCAGTTTCACAGAAATTCACATTTCTACCGTCTCTTGATCCTGTTTAGCAAAGTAAAAGAAGAAAATGTAGTTAGCTTTCCATTCATAAGAGGATGAATGCAATAAAATTATGCAAAAATCAGAATCTTGTAAGTATCCCTGATGAAATGGGCAGGTCTGATTTGGACACACACAAACACACACATAGATTCCAGATATGCAAGTAAAATCACATTGTATCTTAATTTAATTTGCGTGTGTGCATGTTTTTGGTCTGTGTTTAATTTCAGTAACAGATTTTCTTCACTGCGATTTAAAATTAGTATAACGGGGATTATGCAAAGAACATTATGGTGTTTCACATCAGGCACAAAGCACACAAAATACAATGACATACCACCAAGATGGGCCTTCTTGTGGTCTATTTGAATAATAATTTCTTCCACCAATCCCCAAACTTAATAAATGATTGTACTAATAATGTGAACTAAACAAAATTAACAAGAACTAGGAAAGTTGTATATGAGTCAGTCAAAGAATAGGCTAGTGCTTTTTGGTGAACAAAAAAAATAAAAAGACACAAGAACAATATTAAACAGAACTGATGCCGAGTTTACATGAATCAGTGAGGGAAATGCTTAAGATGAAATGGACTTCAAAAAAAAAAAATGTATCTAAGATTTGATTCTTACCAGGAAGAATTTCATTCTCATAAGGATTTGTAGCAGATGACCCACGGTGTGCTAGGCTATTTCCTCTAAGCTTTGCACCGAGCTTAACATGCAAACTTCTGGTTTCACCTTGGGGTTTCCTCCCATTTCGTCTTCTAGACAGTGAGGAGTCCAGTTCAAATTTTTTGGGATCAGTTTTTAGAGTCTGAAAGACCCTCTTTGCCAGGTCATGTATAGCACGGGCCTGGGAATCACAAAAATTTTATTCAACCAAAAATACCAAAACCGAAAAACTTTCAATATGTATATTATTGGTTCGTTTTTCACCAATTATCGTACAAGATCAGATGAATTCACCTGTCTGAAATAGATGGTTGTTGATGAATTGAAAAGCATTGCATTGTTCAATATCAGAAATACGTCACTCTGTACAATAATTCATAAAATAATCAATTAGTCAATGCCTCAATGTTATAGATAATGTTATGGAACTGAATAAGTCGAAAATTTTCTTGTTTGCAATAGATCTCTCTCTTTCTCTGTCTTTCACACACACACATTCCCACCAATAGCTACATACTTTACCACTTGGACAGTGTATTGAGAACAAAATTCATGCAAGGGCTAAGCATCTTGGCCAATCACACTTAAGAATGCTACAACTACCTTGATAGTAGAACTAGAAGAAAAATAGAAGTTAAAAACAAAAACAAATATGGGGAGTCATTGTTTATAAAAGAGCAAACCTCAAATTGTTCCAAAGTGCTGTACATTCCCTCTTGAAGTTTTGCCCTCATGGTGCCAAAATCCATTGGCTTTTCAATTATATCATAATAGCCTTCCACCTTGCAAACCAAGAGACGCATCATCATTGTGGATTAGAAAGAAAATTTGGAATTCAATAAGTAGAACCCAGAAAACAACTACCAACCTCATTCGCGTCAACTGGCTGAGCAAATATTTCATGTGTATCTCTCCTAAATAGAAAAATAAATAAGATAAGAAGACCAAATATCTACAAAAATCTGACAAATTGTAAACTCTTTCTTTTCTCTAAATTTTCTTTCACTGGAATAAACTCTTTTCTTCTAAAGAATGCAACAAGGACCTGTAAAGTAGACCAAATGCGGTGAAATACAGAACAGAAACAACTTACCTTTGTAGTATGTCAAGTATAAACTCAAGTATGCGTTTCTCAGGCATTTGTTGTGAAGATTGAAAAACTGCATGTTTATGTAAACAATATCAAATACACAATTAAGGTTGTCAAACTTTTAAAATGGAAAATTGTATCATCCATCTTTTGATCAAGATTACACTCACCACTGTTAACTGGCGGAATTTCATCTTTTGGCTTTTCTCCATTCTGCATGCGATTGGAAATGAGACCAAGAAACAAAAATGCAAGGTGAGAAACAAATAGTACATAAAAAAATCCTCATAGACCCATACATAAAGTGACCCAACCAATCTAGAGCTCATTCTGAATATACTAAAATTATCTCAAAGAAGGAATTTTTTTTTTTTTTTTACAAAAAGCACAATTCCCTTCTCTGGGAAAGCCTCATCCAAGGACACAACTAATAATCAAGCTCAGAATGCTGTCACTAACTAGGGACTGGGTTGATTTAACTACAAAGCAAAGAGATGAATTTCAAGGACTTTAACTAACTTGATCAACCTTCACTTTCTGTTAGTAATAAGAAATCCTTTGGGTTATCCCCTGAAGGGCCTAAACGTTGTTTCTTCTAAATAACCACACAAAAAAGCCAATTTACATCCAATTGGTGACTCAAGAGATTGCAAACAGAACAAGAAAGTACTGATGGCATGTAAAGCTTTAAAGGTAATAATTGTACCAATACTGCAGGTTTATCAACAATGGATACAGTAATGCTATTATGATGCAGGAAAAGAGTTTAAAAGCAAGTGAAATCATAAAGCACCCCAAAACTGTATATAAGTCAGTTCTGGACCAATATGAAGCAATAGATCAACGAGAAAGCAATTCAATATGTGAAGATTTGGTGTGAAATAATTTGTAATTTCGAGTGGTCTCATTATGTAGTTTGACATTTGAAGAGTGATGCAACGAACATTTTGAACAACTTTAAGTTAATTCTTCTGATGGGTGTATAATAATGATCAATGCAACTAATATACATTCTAGCTTTTGAGAGTGTACTGAGACAGTTGTTTAAATTGATGAACTAAGTAAGCTTTCTATGTACCTCTTGGCCTTCAAAAGTTCCTATACACAAAATCACTAGAAATCCATTTCTTATAATAAATGATTAAATTAGATGCATGCAACAACATTGTATATAAAAGAATCACTAAATCCAAAAGATCTATTCAATACTCTCTGGCTTGTTTGGTGGCAAATTCCAAGGCAGATCATCAGAAATGAAAACAGTACCTTGTTTGGCAGCAATATTGATAATAATAAGAACATATTCATTGCAGCCCACATAACTATTATATCATATCCAATCACGCAAACAACACCACTAATCATTATAGCACTCTTTCACATAACTGCTAGTCTCTAATCACATTGAGTCATCTCAAAATCAAAGAAATTCAACATTTAGACACATAACAAGACATCATGAACAATCAATCCAACTGAGCACTCCAGAAGAAGTACTGCAAATACTGATTGTATTATTCTCTATGCATATTGTACATACATACATATAAAACATAAAGCACCTGTTGGGCTGTGGGGCCAATAGAAGAAAAGGCCACTTCCTCGAGCCTTTTCTTCTTCCGGCCTCTCCTGGGCCCAGGCAGAGGCTGTCGGCCCGGTGGTGGCGGCGGCGGCACATTGTGCTGAGCAGCATTAACTTGTTGGGTTTGCTCTTGCTGTTCACTTGTACTGGGATTGATATTGTTGTTGTTGTTCTGTATCTTGGCATTCCTCTTTTGTCTTCCTCTGCCTTTTCGCTTCACCATTTTAATCCTCTCTCTCTCTCTCTCTCTCTCTCTCTCTCTCTCTGTGCGAAGAAATGTGAAATGCACAAGACAGTGTGATGTAATGCACAAAATAGTGTGATGTAAGATGAAATGCACAAGATAGTGCGATGTAATGCACAAAATAGTGCGAAGAAATATATATATATTTATATGTACATTAACGGGTCAGTACGATCCAAAATCCACACACACCAATGCGTATATACAGACATGAGTCTTAACTACTATTAAAGCTGTTATTTCTTTACAAATCCTTGTACGTGTGTGTAACAGTGTGTATGTACTTAACACCCAAATTTTTGACTCGGGTTTGGTTTCTTGCGACGACCAAAATTGGACAAAATGCAAGCATAGGGCGTATCAAAACCCCAAACCCAGTTGACAAATCCATTGAAAAGCGCAGCCGAGAGAGAAAAACAACAATGTATAATGGAGATTGAGAGGGTTGGGGTTTCAAGAACTAGCGGCTAACCAAAAGACACTGTTCACACCATTTTTTGTCACCATTTTTTTGTGGGATTTGAGAGAGGAGAGAGAGTGAGGGTGAGAGAGGTCATATTGAAAGATGTGTTTGGACTTGGATTCTGATGTGACTCAGATTCGGGCCTCTCTCCTCCGTTCTACTACCTTCAACGCAGCGGCTGCTGGAAAATGTTCGGAACATGTGTGAATTTTTGTCAGTAGAGATTCCTTGCTTTCAATTCATATTTATGGACTTGACTGTCTCTAATTGGTTCATGGGCCTTGTTTAAATGGGATTTTTATTAAGAAATTCATTTTAGAGTTGGTGTAGCTAATATTTTCAAAATCAGATCGGCCAGCGAATCGAGAAAAAGGTTGGGTGAACGGGTTACTGGTTCAATTATCGGGTCAAAGTAGTCGAATCGTGACATCATAATTAATATTATATAATTAAAAAATATAACTATAAATTATAAATAAATAAAAATATATATAAATAATCAAATAAAAATTGTTGGATAGTATTTAATAAAGTCATAATTGATAAATAAATAAAATGAAATTTTCAACCCTCCCTCCAATCAATATGTTTCAAATAATTTGATTAAATCCCACATAGAATTTTGTAGGTTCTCTTTGAAAAATCTTTTCCTATAAATAGGAATAGAATTCATAATCTTCTCAAGCTTTCAGTGAGACTCTTTCTTATGAGAGGAGGCTCTTGAAATAAGAATTTTTAGTCAAAATTTTAAAATATATATATATATATATAAGAAAGAAAGAAAAAAAATAAAAATAAAAAAGGTAAAACAAAAAAAAAAAGACTGGTCCGACCATCTCGACCCGGTCCGGGTCACCGATTTTCACCGATTTTGCTCCCACTCCGGGTTTATGGGGTTGATCGGACCGGAACAAGGCTCGGTTCCCGGTCCGACCGGCCGGTCCGGTCCGGTCCGGTCCGGGTTTGAAAACATTAGGTGTAACTCATTAAATCTCAAAAGATTATTATAACCTGATTAGTCCCATCTAGTTTTCTTTTTATTCTATCAGGTGTATTTTACTAATTTTATATTTTCAAATAGACTATTATGCTCTCATATATATATATATATATATATTGTGTTGATACACAAACGACGTTGCCTTTTTTTTGTTTATTCTATTTTGGCAATTTATATCTCCACGCTTTTGATCATCATTCAAATTTAGATAGATACGTTTCTATTTTTTATACTTGTTTCAAGGTTTTGATGTGCTAGGGTTTCATTGTTGCTATTGTAGTATGGTTCGGTGATTTTGGAGTGAAGACGACGGATTGGACGGTGTTCGGTTGTGACATTTTCTGGAGTATAACTAGTTTAAATCAGTTCTTTCCGAGTTACAGGACGAGTGTAGGATTGCATGATTAAGGTTAGTATCATTTTGGTTGTGAATACATTTTCAGTTTATGTTTTGATTTGTATGATGGATGAGATGTTTTGTTTTTTTATTGATATGGATCGGATACTCTGTTTGTTTAATTATATGCATTTTACATGGGCCTATGGAGGGGAGGTCGTTCAGATTATGTGAAGAATGTGGATATTCTCATTTTACTTTAATGTTTGTTTAATGAGGCTCTGTGTGGGAGAGATAGTTTAGAGTATATGTAACAATGTGAATGGAGGGTTGATTGCATATTGTGTAATGTCACCTTATTGTGGTGTGTGGAAATGTGGTTTGGAAATACTCTTCAGATCCTGGAGAACGCTCGTGATCCTCTTCTGGTCACCTAAAAAGGAATAAACACTCCGGTCGGGGGTGCCAGAATTAGCATTCCGATGGACAAGTCAGAATCCACACTCAAGAATGCTTGTATTTTAAGTTAAGCACAACAATTCTCACATAGCTTTCTTAGTCTGTTGTTCCTTTATTTATACTTGTTTCCTGGGCCTCGTGGCCAGGCCCACTTGTCACTCATTAGCCTCTTATTTACTCGGCTCCATAGTTCAGTATCTATTCGGCCTATTCATTATATTCGGCATCCTTATCGTGCAGGGTAAAGCCGTGTAATATTTGTCTTCTAGAATACGCTTCTGATTATTCCAATTATTTGGCTCTCACAATTGCCCCCCAAACACCTCGCTAGCATCAATTAGTCGGCGTGTTTGGCTAGTAGTCAAAAAATTCGGCCGTTAATCCTATTCCCGATGGGTGTCAGAACGCGTACGTGCTTTCCGATCATTGTAACGCTTTCCCGCCCCATTCGCGTTTCTCTCGCATTTATTACGATTTGAAACTTAAGTCCCTTTAAAAACATACTTTTTCGAATATTTGAACCTCTTGGACTGCCAGTCGATATCTCTTCTTCGACGCGTTTTCTGCAACTCCTATCCATTCTCTCCTTGTCTCCTTTGCCTTTCGTAAGTTTTCTTCTCTTCTCCTTGCAATCCTGTTTTCCATATTTATTTTTGATTTAGAATATCCTTGAGTCCCCACTAGAATGGCTAAGCATTTGAAATACCTCATTTCCGAGGGTCGAATTTTTGGGTTCCGAGGACATTTTTTAATCCCTGAGGATGTCCATCTTTCTCTAGTAACGGACAATACCCTTGATATGGAGAGGGACAACCAAAATACAATCGTCTTCCCTCTCCTGTCTATTGCGGAGGGCGGAGTTCGCTTTCCCCTGCACTCATTTCTCAGGGTCATCCTCTACTATTGGAGTCTGATTCCTTCGCAACCCAATGTGAATTTTTTCCGAATCGTAATGGGAATCGTAGAGTTGAACCGGCGTCTCAGGATCAACCTTGGCATTCCGGAGATTCGGCACTGTTATGCTTTAGCCAAATCCTCCGGTCGGCTCGGGTGCTACTTTCTTAGGGCCAAGGACACTGACCATCACTTGGTAATGATGTTTGCCAGCTCTGGCAAAAGAGTTGACGATGTAATGGTCAATGTCCGAGGCAACTGGGAATTCGGCGAAGGTGAAGATCGCTCAGACCCTATTCCCAGACGGAGGGGCGAACCAGGTTGCCATGTAACTCTTGTTTGTTGATCTTTCTTTTATATGGCTTTTTCTGCAAGCATTACCCTTTGTTCTTGCAGGCAATAAGTTGCAGAGGATTTTGACCTCGGCTGACGACGTAGTCCTTGCGGAAATTAAAACTGCACTAAAATACTTTGGCCGTCCAAACGTACAAAAGCAAGGGAGAGCGGCCCATATTCTCCTGCAGTACGAGCCTACCTACACTATGTTCTCAGCCACGGACGACATCCCGATCCCAACCGGCGAACAACACCTTACGGCTCTTATCTTTCCCAGTTTCAAGATCCTTAGGCAAATTGGTCTCGAAGCTTCTGATTCAGAGTAAGGCTTAGAGCCGGTTGTCGAGGTACATGCCGAATCAACGAGGGAGTTCGCTGCTGAGGCCAAAGAGGTTGACGAAGCTCTGAAATCAGCGTTTGAGGCAGCCGGTCTTAACCAGCCTAACTCACTGTCCACTTTAGGTCGGGCAGTGTTTTCCTTCAGAGATATTTTTACAAACTTGGGAGACCTTCCTGACACTTTTTCAGAAGGCATAGCTGGGGAGAATCTCACGCAGATGGCGAGAAAGAGAAATGCCGAGCGAATGGCCGCTCGAAAGAAAGCCGAGGCCGCTCATTCTGAGCCTGCCCCGGTTGAATCTTTACAACCGGTTACTGGAGAAGAAACGGCTCAAGTTGTTGTGGCCGAGACGGAGGGGGCTGAATAGCAGGTTACGGAAGAACGACTAATTTCAAAGAGCGGGGCGAAAAACGTTCCGCCGAGGGAGAGGCCGGCGCAGAGGATAGCCCTGCTGACAAACGGCCTTGCTTAGAGGAGTCTGACGTTGTTGTCCCCTTCGTTGTTCAAACAAAGATCAAAGACACGCCAATCTTCTCTGACGCATCTATCATGAAGGATCCAGCCGTGGCGTTGAGCTTGGCCGCCTCAGTTTCGCTACCGGCTAACAAGGCCACCTTTTGAAAAGAGCCGGCTTTGGTGGCTATAGCGTTCGCTGCCCAGTCGGCCCTTTTGGTATGTATACAATACTTTCTTTTTTGCTCGTTTGGTTTGGTTTGCATAGGATGTTGCTTGATGTGGTGATCCAAACTTGTTTTGCAGACGGTTGGAAGGATAGCCGAACTAGGCCGCCGACAGCGTGATGCCATTGAAAGAATTGGCTGTTTAAAGTTTGAAGCTGAAGGTGAGAGAAGTAGGGCCGAGTTCGAGGCGATAAGAGCCGCAATGGAAAGTTCTCGAGCCGAAGCTGAAAAGAAAAGGGCTCGGACTGCTGACTAGCTCAGATCCGAAGCCGAGGATAGGGCGAACGTGAGCGAGGAGTCGCTCAAGTTAGCCCAGGAGGCGCTTTCAAAGGCAGAGGCTGACTTAGAAGAATTGAAGGCAGCCAAGGAAAAAGCCGAATCTGTAGTTTCTACGGCGCTAGAAACTGGGAAGAGCGCCGCCTTGAAGGAATACGTAGATGAGGTCCCCAAATTCGAGAATCGGGGATTCAAACATGGGTGGCTCAAAGCCCTTGCTGCCGTTGGAGT